ATCTCCCTACTTCCCTCTAGGTTACATTAACGCCACAGACCCACGGTACCCTCTTGGCATCCAGGTATTCTCAAAACCCATTATCAAATCTTTTTCCCAAAAACCCCTTTTCTTTTCAAAACAAATTCTTTCCCATTCCATGCCCAATGTCATGCATGGATGTTTCATGCTTAACAATGCTATGATAGTAGAGATTTTATAGTTCATAAAACAACATACTTCCATATATAACATATTCTAGCAAGTTAAACATGGTAGGGATGGAATATCACCACTTAAGCATGTTTTTCATACAATCACCACTTAAGCATGTTTTTCATACAATCAACTAGCACACATAGTCATTGGCTTTATAGACAACAATTAAATCATCATAAAGGAAATCAACACATATTAAACATGCTTGACAACAAATAATGGAGAAAAATTCATAAAAGTGCAAGAATGTATAGATTAGAGACCCCTACCTCAAGCTAGATGAAAATCCCTAATTTGATGCCCAAATTTCAAATTTCCTAGGGTGGCCAAAAGTGTGAATTGCTTATATCAAATGGAAGGCCTTGACGAACTCTCCGATTTGCCGCAAACAGCACCCAAAAATTCTAAATGGTTAAGAAGTAATCAAGACTTGAAGTTTTGATTGAAAAAGAAAAAGAAAAATGAAGAAATAAGAGGGAGAGAGAGAACTTATGGGGAGAGAGAGAAATGAGACCAAATGTGGTCTCTTGGCCAGTAAAAATGGTATTAGTGGGTCCCACCACTTTAAAATATCTTTTTCTTTTACATTTTTCTACCACAAATATATATATTTACACACACAAACCACATAATAACCACATTAAACATATTAAATAAAAATGAATGAAATGCAAATGGACCCAGACAAAAACCCCCGTACGCAACAATTCCGGTAGCGGGACCCACTTGGGACTTTCCGGTCCAGAAAACGAAAAAATGTCGAAATGGAAACCCTTATATTTCAAAGAGTCTTGAACTCAATGAAATGCCCCACAAACTCTCAAACACACCCGACACACCCCTCGGTGTCCGGTTCGCAAAACGAGAAAAGACGAGCTCTTGTAAAAACAGAAAATTTCAGAAAATGGAAAATGGGGAAAATTAGAAATATTACAACGTTAGTCTAATGGTACCAAGAACCTTTCGATAAAGTAATTGCCATTGTGAATAATTCCTTTCCTTTGGTTTCTCTCCCAAAGGTAGATAAAGACATTTTTTGGAACAAGTAATCCTCAACTTTCATTTTCCAGAATCAGAAGTTTGTACTGTCAAACTTCTCGATCTTGATTGTTTTATTTTTTAATGACATTACTCACACTCAAACAATTAGGTCAAATACAAAAAAGCTTCACTGAAATTTGTCAAACTCTTTTTGCCCTAGGTTATCTAACAAAGGCTCTTATACCGGTTGTTAGGTGCAACAAAAGCTCTGATAGTAAGCAATCACACTAGAACACAAGAGATACGTGGTTTGGAAAAATATATCGTTTTTCCTAACAGAGTGCACCAAACAAATTCATTTCAAAAATAAAAAAATCATTATTCATAATGATGGAAGATTACAATGGAGAACACTCTTTTAAATCTCTCGCTCACTTTTGCAATCAATCTCTAACATATATTCAAGAAACATGTGGTTTCTTCTCAAGAAAATATAGCCCAACCGTATTAAATGAAGATAATTTTGCATGTCTTGCATAGATACGGCACATACGCTTTCTGACACATGCTGGGGTTTGAAATAGAGAAACAATTAGCTCCATAAGTCTACAAGCTTTTGTAAAGAAAAATCACTAATAAGAACAAAAATCCCACAACTGCCAAGAAAGTACGACCGGTCCCCAAAAGTGCGATAGGTTGGACTTTCCAAAACTCCATAGCCAAGACAAGTTGGACCGGTCAGTAAAGGTGTGACCGGTCATATTCTTTAGAACATCAAACCGAGGTAAGTTAGACCATCACTAAGAGTGCTACTTGTCGAACTCTTCGGACTAGTGATTTAGAGTCTACAACCTCAGCATCATTGTAATCTAACAACCACACAAGACTTCTAAGGGTTTGGAATTTAAAAGTTAGGAATAAACTATACAATTTCAATTGAATGTTAAATCCTGTGAAAATCACTCTTTATGCATGTCTTGATTTTCTCTATCATCAATATAGACCTTTTTAAGAGAATATATATGTATATTTATGGATCTTTAAGAACATCTTTTGGGTTTTTATTTTATATTGAAGGTAGCACCAACAAAGTATAACATGCAGATCTTCCAAGGCATTTTGGTCGCGTGTCATCGTCCACTCGATGCAGGTTGGGTTGGTGAAAAAGACGAAAAACTTAACATTTGGTATGGGCGTGAATCACCTGTAGTGAGGTTCCCATGCGGTTTCTTGCTGTAACTTTTAAGTGGTCCATATTTGGCCACATCATTCTTTAGCTAACGGACACTAAGGACATGTTTGGCCAATTACACCACTATTTATAAGTAACATTTCACCACCATTTATAAATAACATCACAAAGTCTAAAAAGTAACATCACCATTTGTAAAAGGAAATATCACCACTTTTGTAACATCACCATTTGTAAAAAGGCAACATCACCACTTAAATAATAAACCATCTTCACCCTCAAAATAAAGTATGCACATAATATAAACTAAGTAATGTTACATATAAACTTAACTCAATTCAACATATCATTTATGTATTTAGACTATGTGATATTACTTTTAGACTTTTGTGATGTTACTTATAAATGGTGGTGAAATGTAAAAATATATATACATCTAAATATGTAACACCCAATTCAGCAAATTCAAGTTTTGACCTAAATTTTAGACACCCAATTGAAAAAATCGATTTAATTGTGCAATTTTAACACTAGACATTATTTTGAGCACTCAACTAAGAAAATTCAAATAAAATTAAGAAATCAACCAGGGTTAGAATAATTTTTAGCATTTCCACAAATAAATTAATCAAATTAAGCATATATTCGACAAATTATGAAATTACTTGTAGTGCTTGCATTTTCAAAAAATACAATTATTTTTAGAGGCATTAACTACAATAATTCAATAAAGAAGTAATACTTGTTTTAACAGAAAGAATTAATGACAATATACAATTCCCAGATTCTAAAATTTAGAAATGGTAGTAATGTTACTTTTTAGACTATTTTTACATTTCACCACCATTTATAAGTAATATCACAGAAGTCTAAAAGTAATATCACATAATCTAAAAAGTAATATCACCACGTTTTGAGGGTGAAGATACTTATAAATGGTAGTGATGTTACTTTTTAGACTATGTGATATTTACTTTTAGACTTCTATAATGTTATTTATAAATAGTGGTGAAATGTTACTTACAAAAAGTGGTACAATTGCCAAACATAGTCTTAATGTCTATTAAATGGAGTAAAACGTGGCCTAACCAAGGCCACTTACCCTTCACTATAGAAAACAGCATGGGAATTGCACAGGTGATTTGCATCCATTTGGTATTATATATATTATTTTTGTACGTACTTTTCTTTTCTTTCTTTTCCGAATGATCATTTTTGTTCAAACTTGAAATTGCAGAACGATTGTATTTAAAGCTTCAAGAACACATGCGTGGTCTCCTTATAGGTAAAGGCCGTTATGGTGATGGAGCGGGAAAAAGACTTGAATAGCCTACGATATATATACACACACACACACAACAAATTTTGTTCTGCATAATCAAGGATAGTTTCAAGGACTGAATTCCACATGAAGCGTACCTAGAATGAGAAGCACATTATATCCACCAATAAATATTTACTGCCAATATGACAATTCTCTATTATATCATCCTAAGAAATGCATAGCGGAAGGAATTAAAAAGATAATTGCCAACATAAATGTTCTATTATAAATGCTCTTCATTCCAATATTACTATTTTATATGGACACATTGTTAAAATTGTATGAGCTGGAGTTAGAGGTAATCACATGTCGTGGCAAAGAAATTAAGGATAATTAATTAACAGCATTGAGCGTTCATATTGAGGTCCATACAAGTTCATTAATTATCAATGAAAATTGTGGCATTTGAATGTCCGTCTTATAAGATCTCATTCAATTATATATATATATATATATATATATATATATATATATATATATATATTACTTCGTATTAGGCGAACCATAAAAGTATTTTCATCAATTTTGCATTCTTTATGAAATCATGACGTGCAATATACTTAGGCGAACCATGATAGTATCTTCATCAATTTTGCATTCTTTATGAAATCATGACGTGCAATATACTTACCCAAATATATATATATATATATATATATATATATATATATGACGTGCAATATATGATGTATGAAGTTGAAAACAAAGTCAACCTTACCATTCAAAAAAATAAAAAATAAAAACTAAGTCAACCTTGACCTGCAATATATGAAGTATGAAGACCTGCATTTCTGACGTCAAGAAAACAAAGATCAGTATAAATTATTAATCAGAAAACCCACATGGACAAGGGCGATTTTTGTGCCAATATGTATGATATTAAAAAAATAATGGCAAATTTAACAACTTTTGGAGGCAGTATTACAAAACTAACAATTTTAATCAAATATTTACAAGAGTTGACCCAAAGACCAAAACTAATTAGAAAACTAACACATTTCACAGCTCACTCATGTGTTAGTTTGCAAGGTAATTAATTCTGGTCTTTTGTCAGATCTTGTAAATATTTTCTAAAAGTTGTTAATTTTGTAATATTGCCTCCGAAAGTTGTTGAACTTGCAGTTTACCCTAAAAAAAACAAAAATCCCATGCAAGCATTATGTTTTGTTTGTTCGTGGGCGAAAAGTTGTAGCTTGCATTCTTACATGTATCTCAGTCATGATATAAATATATAATATTATATTTGTTGTGTATTTAGCATTCATTGACCTAAATATGGTTATATAAGGAGTATGAGTGCCAAAGATGAGCTATAGAAGCGTTGCAGCTCGAGAAAGAAAGAAAGGCACGCAAACTTTTTTGTGTTTCTGCAGGGATATTGAAGTAATGGAAAAATGGACGGATGGAGAGGAGGAGATGGAAGTGGCTTTGCAAAGGCGGCAGCCTCGGTATCAAAAGAATACTACTACTGTCACTAACAACAGAAGTGAAGAAGAGAGAGAGGACAAGGGAAGATTGGAAGAGAGTGTTTACTTTTACAAGGATAGAGGTAAATCACCTACTAAATATCAATTTGTATAATTCTTGCTTAATTGCCATTTTAAGTGTTTTTTTTTTTTTTTTTCATTTTACGTTATTATTGACTGCTTATATTTTTTATTCTCCAAAGTTTTAAAAATATATATATTATTGTAAAAGACAAAAGGCCATTGTACAACTAACTTAGGGCGTACCATTTTTCAGCTTCTTGCTAACTAGCAAATCTTTCAGATTCTTTTTGTATTTTCTTTGGGTGGATTAAAATTTATCTGTTTGTATATTGTGCATATATATTCATTAAGCACAACAGTTTTCTATCTTAATGTTTAGTGCACGGTTGCAGGTACTGAAGGGAGTGAAAGTTCACATGCTGAAGAAGAAGCGCAGTTAGGTGAAACCGGAGAAAGTGATGGAGAAGAGGAAGTGATGGAATTGGAATTCAAGAGGGAGGTAGAGAAGCTGGACACACATACAATGTATATTCCTAATTGTAATTCTTGCATTACCAAGGTTATTCTTCGTAGAAGAAAAAGGGTACCAGCCAATGTGCGACGACATCCTAAGCCAGCTGATCCCTTGGGATGCTTATCATTCTTCAGTTTTTTCATTCCTTCTGGTATAATTTCAATAATTCACTCTTTACATTAATGCATTTATTCATTATTTTTACATCTTCAATTGGTATATCTGAACAAAGAGTGAGTACCAAATTGATAAGGTAATGAAATGACATAGATTTTGTCACCATATATGGGACCATTGTGGTTTATTTGTGGCCATTTCAAGGCAACAAGCTCTGCAATTAGTCCACCGATCATGACACAATGTTTGAAGCTTTCAGATGCGTCTCAAAGCCTAAAAACTTTAAATGGGAGAATTTTAGATCAAAACTTGTCATAATAAGATTTGGTATTTTCTTGATAGTTATTGGCAGCAACAATTAATTTTTATCATAGCATCTTCTGACCAATTCACACCTAATTCTATTAGTGTTTGTGCATTGCTCAATTACAAAAGATTTGCAATGCACAAACACTGCTAATTCTAAATCTATAGAGCGTCAGAAGTCATATTACTGATATGATCTTAATTAATTACTTAAATTAAGCAGGGAGTGGTTTCAATCTATTTCGAATTTTCGGGTTTAAAAAAACGGATAAGAGCATACAAATTCCTCAACAAGAACCTGCTGCAACAGAAAATCTTCGCCCCTCTGATATTGCAGTTGAGGAGGGGAAGGTGGTGATTGAGCAAGGTAATACATTGTCTGCAGTGCTTTATTCTACTTAACTCGTTTTTATTTTTTTTGGGCAGTAATTTAAATTTTACTCACCCAAAAAAATAAAAGTTCATAAGCAGCATATGAACAAAAATGACATTTCTGATCCATCTCGTATCTTGAATAAAGTGTTAGGAACAGATTATCAAAGGATAATAATATCTTCAAATTGTTAATTGGAACCTAATGACTATAAAAAAATGGCTTACACGAGAATTATATATGCAGATGAAAAAAGTATAGAAGGCGCTGCTGCACTTCCCACAAAACCAGAAAGTGAAATTAAAGAGATAGAGGATGTTGAAGCCAAAAAGGCTGAAGGTATGTGAACTATAATTTGATAAGGAGTGAGTGCCAAATTTTTTTTCGAATGGTTAGTGAGTGCCAAATTTGATAAGGTAATATAATGGCATAGTTATTACCATCATATATAGTCACCGACTCACCATATAAGGGACCATTATGCTTTATTTGTGGCCATCTTAAGCCAAAAATAAACATGTTTACATCAAACTTGTCATAAAAAGATTTGGCTTTTTCCTGGTTAATTGTTATTGGCAGCCATAGTTACCAAAGGCCTTGTAGACTGATGGTACTTCCTCGCCTTCCAAAGTAGAAGGTCGAGGGCTCAAGTATCCATATGGACGAAAGTGATTGTGTGAATATGTTTGTTGTCAATGAAAATATATATATATATATATATATATATATATGACAGCAACAGTTAATGTCATAGCATCTTTTAACCAATTCACACCTTCAGCTCACTCTTCTCTGTTTGTTTTTTCTGCTCAAATGTTCATCATAGCCATTGATATCTTCTTCTTTTGATAATCATATAACAGAGATCCTCTAAAAGAAATGCATTTATTTAGGTGGATTTTCCAGTGAAAAGAGTTCTAACCTCCTGTGTTTAAAAGTCCAAGACATCTTGGAGTTTTCAAAGACTAAACTCTTGCATTGCTCAAGTTACCATAAATAGGAAACATTTTCTATCTATAAATGAGAAGGGAGACTTAGGATGATAATTCTCAAGGAATTGGAATTAGTCCTTCAATCGTATTAACATCAGGGACTTGTAAATCTATAGAGCATCGGAGCTCATATTACTGACACAATCTTAATTATTTTCTTAAAACAAGCAGGGAGTGGTTGTAATCCATTTCGGATTTTTGGTTATGGAAGAACGGATAAGAACACACAAAATTCTCAACAAGAACCTGTTGCAACTGAAAATCCTCCCCCGTCTGAAATTGCATATGAGAAGGGGAATATGGTAATTGAGCAAGGTAATATTCTGCAACAAGAACCTTTATTCTTCTTTTAACTCATTTTTAGAACTCTAACTCGGAGTATCCACTATTATTGAATTACTTTTCTAATGTCTATAACTACTTTCTGCTGCAACAAGTTACATGTTACATACAAGTTTGTGCTTGATTTGCTTATTCAGGAAATGTGAACAACAATGACATTGACACACCTGATTCATATCATGTCTCGAATGAAGTACTCCCTGATCAAAGTGCTCTCGCTCTATCACTCCATGTAACTCTGTCGCTTGGCCAAACAATGTGCATAAATGGAGTTGTAAGTGGTCCGACCACTGTAATGTTGCACGGCCCAGAACAGGTTGAAACACCTACATTTCAAGGACCTGTGTCGCCCGGGCATCAGATAAACAATGTAGAAGAGAAAGCAGGTAATGCAATTAAACAGATAATATTAGAGTTTGTCTTTCAAAGGGGAAATGTTAAGAAATTGTTTGGTGATACATTCCAACAAAAAGATGTCTTTTACATAGCAACTGAAATCCTATAATTCTTAGATATAATTTGTTTCTTCTATAATATTTTGTTTATAATTAGTATCTTATCACTTTAAGGTTGGCAGCTATCACCAACATGAATAGAAATTTGGTACATATGCAGATGAAAAAACCATGAAAGGGGCTGCACTTCCCACAAAACCAGAGAGTAAAATTGAAGATGTACAGAATTTTGAAGACAAAAATACTGAAGGTATGTAAACTATGATCGTACTCTGGTGTCTAGTCGTGCTATATATTCTCTTCCTAATGAATAGAAAATTGAATACTTATGCAGATGAGAAAACCGCGAAAGGGGCTGCATTTCACCCAAAACCAGAAAGTACTGAAATTAGAGAGATAAATAATGTCGAAGCCAAAAAGCCTGAAGGTATGTAAACTATAATCTTTATAGTGTCCAGTCATGCTATTCTCTTCCAATTGCAATCTAGTCTTATATTTGACAATATGGTAATTCTGGTGTTTATTGTACTAATGAATCAGAAGTGGATTTTATTATATATATATATATATATCAAAATACAGTCCAACCCGCGAGATTAATTTCCTGGGCTTATAATACCAGTTGACTGAAGCTCCAAAGTAGACTGCTAAGATTATCATGTACAAATTAGTTACAGCTTTCAATTGGGATTTGTGTAGACTAGTGTAGACTATAAATTAGTGATGAAGGGCTTTAATATTGATTTGCATAATTTTCATATCACAAACATTTTCATACGACTTTCTTGACACATATTTGAGATCTCAGACAGTTGTTCCAAAACATAATAATGCAGGAACTGATGCAACAATGCTTGAAGCAGGGCAAGTCAAACCAGGAGAGTTTCAGAGCACAACACATATTTTCTTTATGTTTATGGCGGTAACTGTAAGCATTGTCTATGGCGGTTTAGTGGAATCAATTGCAAACTTAGGTGTTGTGTCGTCTGCTGCTGCCGCTGATGCTACCAAATGTAAGTGTTCAGAACTTCTATTTTCTTCCATCGGTACAGGATAAAGGCAAGGATGATGATCATATAGGTACTAAGTTGCATATGCATCAGCCGGAATGTTGTCTATTTCCAAGTGTTACTCATCAACTCCCTTTAATTATAATGATGTTATACATTTAGCCCATGTTTACATTCAACATATAGGTAATAATATAATTGATGAAGTATCTGATAAATTAAAGCAGTAGTTGTTAATTGTGTTTAGAAGATTATTTTAATGACAGTCTTTGGGTTATTTGTATAAATAAGTTAGTTACAACAAACAAAATGAGATACCATGTGCCTGGAATAAGTTGTACTGTTTTACATCTATTGTTTTTCTTTCATTTTGGAAACCAAATTGGTCTTGAAGTTATAGTTGCTTATATTAACTGTTCCTCTGTCCTTTTATTTCATGAAATAGATCACATTTTGCTAAAAGATTTTGTCTTGGGTTGTTGCAGTGAATATTTTAGTTTTGGGATTGGCAAATCTGATTGGTGGACTTTTCATCATTGGTCATAATGTAAGACTCCAAGCAACATTGCTACAAACAGTTCACATTAATGGTTGTTGGCTACCGGTAGTGTGTGTGTGTGTGTTTTCTTGCATATCAACATTGCAATAAAAAGAGAGAGGATCTTCATTACCCTTTTTTGCATTTATAGTTTCTTCTTGCATCTTTAACTCATCTGTTACCTTACAGTTTATGGAACTCAAAAATGATGGTCCTAAGGGCAGCTCAAATGAAAGAAACGTAGAAGCAGATCGGTACCAAAAAGTACAGGGGCAGCGGGAAAATTTCTTACTTCTTGCTACAGTTGCTGTGTTATCATTCCTAGTTTTCGGCTTATTGCCTCATGTAACATATGGCGGCTTCTCATTTTGGAAGAGTGACAATAGGGGCCTAAAGTTCGTGCCAGTTGCAGCCGCTTCTCTTTTGTGCATCGCGGTACTAGCCTTCGGAAAAGCTCACATCCGAAGGCCTCCCAAGTGCTACAGGCATTTCAAGTCTCTACTGTACTATGTCAATAATGCCGTTTTGGTCTCCGGAGTTTTTTACATGGTAGGTGATCTAATCAAGAAACTCGTGGAGAAGATCTAATCAAGAAAATGTCACTCTACCCTTTATTGGGATGTGATCAGGAAATCCCGTTTGGGGTCCTGTTCATGTCTACTTGATCAAATCTGAAAATAAAGTTGTTCATGGCACTTGTTTACAACAACAATTGTTACTTGCAGCAGTTTCTGTATAAGTTGTATGCTTTGTTTTTCATTTTGCTCTTCCATGGTCTTGTGAATTTAGGAGGCAGTGAATTGATGTCATGGGATCAAATATTTGGTCATAATAGTTATTTGGAATAAATAACGTTCTAATTTATCAGCATCAATCAATATACGATTCAGTTTGATTCCACTGCTTCATCTAAATATACACGGGACAAACGCACGCACAAAATCAAATCCTCCAACTGTTGATTATGGATCTAATACCAATGGAAATCGAAGTTCTGTAGAGTTAAGAGTTAGGAATAGATGGGTTTGAGAGAGAGGGTTTTATAGAAAGAAAGGGCCTTTGCAAATGTTTAACATTTTGAGTTCCAATTCCGCGGGCTGATGTATTACATATAAAAACACTCATTATATTTAAATAATAAACAAAAAGGGAAAACGGTTACTATTGAAACATGTAAAAACACCATATTAGTATTCCAATTTTTAGCCACTATTCACGAAACGTGCAAAACAAAATTTTCAAAAACAAAAAACAAAAGCACAACAAACATTTGTTTTTTCCACCGTGCACTACTACAATACCCGAAAAAAAAAACAAAAACAAAACCCTTACCAATCAGGCCCGTAGTAATAGCTCAGACGAGAGTTTCAACTTTTTGTCAATCCACGCATGCATATTTTTTATAGTCCATATATTTTTTATAGTCCATAAACAACCATCATAACAGAGAAATATATAGCCTTTCCTGGTTATACTTCTAACAGAATGACATATATAACCTTTCCTGTCATAGAACCCGGACCTCTACTGGCATTAGATCAAGTTGATAGATTTCATACACAAACAAACAATTCATAAACAAAAACAGGAACTATGAACAGACAAGTTAAAAGCAGATGCCCTTTTTGTCTTCCCAAATATTTGTTGCTTCATTCTATTCCAAACATGAATTCCATGAAATGTAATTCATTAAAAACTGAACAAACAACACAAAAACCATGCTTTCACACTAACAAAATTATTTCTTGCAACTCCATAGTCCTCCTTAGGTGCCCTCCGATTTCTCCAGAGCTGCAACAAAATCCGAAGTTAGTTCAAATAAGAGATGAATCCAATTCCTTAACCAAATTTTCACCCGCACATTAGAGCTCACTACAGTGAACTAATTTTAGTATCTCCAGTGACAAAAATAAATAAATAAAACATATTCTTCACCTTACTGTGAAAGAGTATAAAACTGACTTGTCTAATTTAATGCACACAATTACTAGTTAAAAATATGAGCTTGTTTAAATCTTCAGCCATTATTTCTGACTGAAATCTCCAAACAGTGGGAAACTTTTGAGAATGTGTTCATCAAGATAATAGTCTCAAAACGACAAAGTTTAAACTCAGTAAATCAAAAAAAACTTTTTATTACACTTTGTCTACCAAAATTTCAAATTTCATATCCATCAAATGGTATTTTTCATCCTTATATTTATGGCAAGATGGCAAATACTAGAAAATTCACCAGAAGAGGATGCCCCACCTCCTGCCCATTGTCAATCCTGATCCCCACCACATCACACCCAAAAAATAAATAAATAAACACAAAATCCAAAGCAGCACACATTTTGTAGTGTTCTTTTATTTTTTTCCCTGTGTGTGCTCGAGAGCGTGTGTGTGTGTGAGAGAGAGAGAGAGAGAGTACTGTTGTAGTTCAAAAGCTTCTCGATGAGGTCAACATGAGTCATAAGCATTCGTCTACAACAATAACGAACCAACCCCAGTGCATCAAGAGCATCTCTGCATACCAAGCAATTTAATGTTACAATTAGAGATCATGATTATGTTGTGCAAAGGAAATGGTTGAATGCATACTCTTTTTAATTTTAAATATTGTGGCATGGTTTGTTAGAACATTTCTTTATGTTGAGTGGTTTTGTAGAATGGTGTCTGATTTTGTATTTTTCAGTAATAACTCTCAAAAGTTGTTCAAACTCAAATAGCAAAACAGTACATATTTGTGCGTGTGTGTATATATATATATTGGACAAACCGAGTTCTCCAATACACTATATATTTTGAATATTCCATTTCTACCATTTCTATCAGAATTCAGCTAGCTATTAAGGGCCTGCTTGGTTTTGTTTTAGAACAGTTTTCTCTTTTCTGAGAACTGAAAATCAGAAAACTGTTCAAAAATCTGTTTTGTTGACAGTTACCGAAAACTCCATATAAAAAAACAGTTTTTTGAGTTCTTGATAACTGTTTTTAGAAAAGTGAATCAAGCAGACCCTAAGCATCTTGTAGCACTCCTGCAGCAGAAACCATGTAACATTTCTTTGCTCAATTTCACTGATAACTGACTATGTAACAAGAAACATCAAGTGGATTAATCTTTGAGGCTATAAGTGCAGTTGTTCTGGGCCGCATCCCCCTTTTGGGAGCTCTTCAATGAAATCTTACTTATCAAAAAAAAAAAAAAATATGAGGTGGATTACCATTAAAACTATATGTTAGCAAAACTTGAATATAAAACATTAATTAGTAATTTTCATCTTGAAAAGCAAGAAGAATAAATATTAAACTGAGATTAACTACAGCATAGAAGGCTGGAAGCTAATTAATATGATATGTATGAATATATTATATATACATAAAAAAATGTTTGGTTTAATATTTTTGCCTAAAGTCTCAACTTCTATCGGACCAGCATATTACATGATTGGAAAAAAAAAAAAAAATTCTGATCAATGGTTGGATTTGTTCAAGGGATTGATTCCACGATCATCTCCATCAAACAAATAAGAAAAACAAAACAGACCCTACACTCTATATATAAGGAGGGTACAGCACAATGAAGTTTAAGCTCGCACGCTTGCAAAACAAACAAGAACATAAATACTTTAACTAATTCTGCACCAACTGCTCACACAAGATAAAAACATACCGCAAACGAATATTTATAACAATAGTCAAGCTCAAAAAGTGGAGTGCACAATGCAAAAAACAAAAATCCCAAAAACAACATGAATACATAGTTTGGTTCTGTTAATGCAAATTCTTCATCACAGAAAATATTATGGTGAATTTAACCAAAATCAACACAAAAAAAAAAAAAAAAAAAAAAAAAAAACAAATATATCAGACACGAAGAAACAAAATCACAAAGCTGGGATGGCCCACTGACACACAAACATCATAATATTTATAGGGATTTCCAATTTTGAATTTAACAATCAACAATAAGTTAAAAAAGAGTATATACTGTTACTCACCCTTCAGTGTAATCAGCTTGAAGAAGATCAAGATAAGTGTCCCATTTGTTTCCAATGACCTAAAAAAGAAAAACCCAAATTAACTAGAAAAGTATTTATTTTATACCGAACAAATAAAAAACCCTAAAGCAACAAAAATTAGGGCAAAAAGCTACCATACGACCCTCCAAAATAAAAACATAGAACATCCATCAGAAACCCAAGACTAACATTAATTGATTATTGAAATCTAAATTACCTTCCCGCAAGTGAAGCAACGTACTGGAATGATCATCTCGCTTGCCCTAGTTTTCGCCCCCTTAGATTGTTTCCACTCCACTCTAGTCAAAGGGGCTATGTGCTTAAAGACTTCGACGAAGGCAGGCTTTGATGTGTGTGTTGATACTGGAACAATACACGCCAATTACATATAGATGGACATGGTCCTTGACTCGTACTGTGGGCCGATATTTTTCTCACTATTGGATCGATATCGGTCTCTAGAACATCCTCAAGTCATATGTTGGGCCAATCATGCACTTTAAACCGTGGACTAACCAACTATTCCCACAATAATCGACTATAAATAGAGTGTGTTTTTTTTTTTTTTTTTTTTTTTTAAATTATAGTTTTAAGATTTAATCTTACGCTAATTAATTAATTAATTTTTTTCTTATTCTTTCTTTTCATACCAAAGAAAGGACAGAACTAGACAATTTATTAAAAGAAACAAGAATAAAAAAGAAATGACATAACTAGACAATTTATTAAATGAAACAAGAATAATAAAATTGTCTAGTTCTGTCATTTCCCTGTAACGATATTTAATGATATAAAAAGAAAGATTAAATTTATTAAAATAAAGAAAAAAAGTTAACTCAATTATGTTAATTTTTTCTTTTTTGGAAAATTAGAAAAGCCCCGTGAAATTATCCCTCATTTGCAAATTAATAACGCTATTGAACTACATAAAATAGAAATAGAAATAAAATAAAAACGAACTATAAAAAAATTGCAAATAACTCACTGCCTTTCCATCAATTAGCTATTCAATAGTGATAAAATTACGAACCGGAAATAGAAATGAAAAGGGGAGTTAAATTTTGATTTTGAAATAAAAAAAAAAAATTTACCAAAATTAAGTTTCAATCCCTAGGACGTGCTGTTAAAAATATTCGACCCATTTCCTCCCATTCAAGTACTCAAAATGGATCCTCTATATATTTTTGTCTAGTACGTAATTTAGTCCACTAAAAAGAACATATAAGTCAAAATATAATGTTTTAATATATCATGTGAGATAAGATGATATTGTTAGTAAAATTAAATGACAAAGAATAATTTTTAAGTTTTTACTAAACTATTATTTATCGAGTTGATATTTCAGGAATGTTTGCAAATTTGAGAAAGTTAAAATATATTTTTTTTATTTTTTATTCCCAAACAAATTTTCTTTTTATCAATCAACTAATAACTTTAAATAAGATTTACAAATAACAACAATTTAATCTTTAACATAGGCAAGATCAAACACCCATTATTGAAGCTTGCAGATTCCAAGATCCGATTCCAAGATCCAATATGGAATTTAATACAGAGAGTACCTACACCAACAAATTATCATATGGGTTAATATCACCACAATTTACTATAGAAAATGTTATGAACTATTTTACTTTTAATTTCTCCCAATATCTAATTGATTACAAAGTCTATTTTTTCTTTTTTCTTTTTTTTTTGTATTCTTCATTTTGTAAGGCGAAATTAACCTTGGTCAAATAAATGAAACCCAGCATTCATATATATCACAAAATCATGATTTTCTGTAAGCTAATGATAAGTTCATTTTTTTTTTTTTTTTCAAATAAGTTCATGTTTATAATAGACAAAGAGATCATGTACTCAAATGTCCAACATTCTGCTAGTTTTTACGATTTGGCCACAATTTTTCTAATCTTTTTTGTTATCTTGATTTTCTAAATCAGAAATGATTTTTCCACGACAGATACTTCATCTCTAAATTTATATGTTTTTTATTTTTTTTTTATGAACTTGGATGGTAACATTAGTCAGATACCACAGAATTGAAAAATGCTTCACAAGATAACCTCACCAGTAGTGTCATAACCCTTACAAGATGGTTCGTGAGAGTAATGAAAAATGCCCAGTTGCACTTCTGAAATTTTTTTGGACGCATCAAATATTCTACTTAAAAATTACTAATAATAATCTAGTTGCATCAAATTTTCTACAAAGCTTGCTTACTATCGGAGCCCAATTTAATCGGGCTCTAACCATCCATCAGCAAGTCATCAATTGGTCCACGCTTGGACTTTAGACCTTGAATTAACCAACCATTTTTTAACGGTTTATTTGATAAGTGACGGATTAATTAAAGTCCTTGAATTAACCAACCATTTTTTAACGGTTTATTTGATAAGTGACGGATTAATTTAATTCAGACCGTTATTGAGATTTTTTGTAATATATATTAATATATTTTTGTGAGCTTATTTTTTCAATCTAATATTCTGAAATGAAATGGCCCACCAAGTGTTTATGAGCGTGGACCATCTAATAATTTCACCAATAATAATAAGTGTGTGTTTATTGACCATTAGAACTAATAATAGAAATAAATTTTATTAGATGATTCTAAATCATATGTAACTTGATAGTCCAGTTATAGTACAATCAATACATATTAAAAATTTTTATTATAATATCTTATTAAACATTTTGAGTCACTTTTCATAATTGAGATTTAATTTGACTGGGCTGGACCATATAGTTCATAACCCTCTCATATTCTCTTGGATTGGAGGAATGCAATGGAGGTCATCTGACTCAGAATATTGAATTAAACTAACCTTCCATTTTATTTTTTAACTTACCATATACCCAAGATTTCGAAAGTGTAACCCATCAAATAACACTAACCCTATTTTTTATTCTAACCACTCAACTTGAGCTCAACTCATCATTTTACTTCAAACTTCGGGTTTGCAACTTGGATTTAGATTCCAGGTTAAAAAGTCGGGTTACTCATATGGCTAATCTTCACACCGAAAATTTAATATGATTTGAAATTAGTTTCAAATTAAATCACTATTAAACAAAAACAAAAAAATTAAAAACTTTTTTACAAATTTTTAATAAATTACAAACAAATTCTTAGAAAAATTACTTACCCAAAAACAAAAAATTCTTAGACAATTAATTCTTCTAAATGTTAGCATATAATAAATTAAAATTTAACGAAGGAAGTTGAAAAGAAAAAGGTGATCATAGTTTAAAATTATATATAATGTATTTTAAATTTTAATATATATATATATATATATATATATATATATATATAATATTAGAATTTGGGCTCCGGTTGCTACCTCCTCAACTCACGCCCAATCCTAATTAAATTTTAACCAAATCCAACCCTAATTATAAAAATAATTATCCAAACTTGTGAAAAATCAAACTGATATTGGGTTGAGTTAGATTGCCAAACCTAAGTTGCACCTAGGGATGGCAACGGGGCGGGTTTGGAGCGGGTTTCCCTAAATCCCGCCCCGCCCCTTTTAATTTTTGTCAAGTCCATGCCCGCCCCGAGACCCGCGACGGGTTGAATTTTCATATCCAACCCCGCCTCGTTAGGAAATACTGTGCCCCCGTGCCCGCCCCACTAACAAATTTTTTTCTCCCACTTTTTGGAACTTAAACTCCTGCTATTTAAATGTACAAAGCCTAGGAATAACACAACATAAATAAAATTATGTATTCTAACAAAAATAAAAAAAATAACATGCACATAACATAATTCAAAGAACATAATAAACAAAAATAAAAGTTTAATACAACCAAATTATAAGAAGTTCTAAGCTCTAACTTCCACCATAACCAAAACAAAAGCAAATTTAATACCAAGTTTACATCCCAAATTAGGATTGTAAGAGATGGGTTGGGTAAGCCGCTAAAATAACTTATTAATATATATATATATTAAATATAGTTATATGCGGGGCGGGGCGGGGCGGGGCGGGGCCCCTAGGATATGTATATTGAACCCTTACCCGCCCCATGACCCTCGACGGGTACAAAATTTGTATCCATGTCCGCCCCAACGGTATAATAAGTGTTCCCATATCCGTTATTAACGGGGCGGAACAGGGCGAGGCCCCGACGGGGCGGTAAAAATTGACATCCCTAGTTGCACCCTTAATTGGGAGTAATCAAACGTAAGACATCAAAATCACAATATAAATTATGCCAAGAAAGTGGGTGTAATTTTTAGCATCATATGTAAGTGCGTGCGTGCACCCTCCTCACAATGTGAACAAGTTTATATTAGGTGGGTTTCTTATAACAATTGAATTAAGCTAAACCTTCCAACTTTTCTCTTCCTATACAAGATTTCAAAAGTATAAACCATCAAATAATTCTACGTAAAGTTATGAGAAACCAACATTTTGACCCATAATTGATGGACCATCAATGCGTTATCACAAATTCTCATCTCTGCAACTAATACCAAACCAAAGAAAAGATATCATGATCCATCAACAACTAAACTGGACAAACCACAAGGGTCCCATGCACTATAAAATGGGAAGCCCTCAAAACACTTCTCTCCATGCAAAATTCAATTAAAGAAAACATAACAGAGAAAAGTTGATTACTATGGAGAGAGTGACGACTAAGGCATTGCCCTTGCTGGCTGTCTTGTTCTTGGCCTCCCTTGCGAACACTGAAGGAGGAAGAGATGTTCGGGCGGTGGGGAACGAAGAGGAAGAAGATGTCCCTGGGGGCTAGGGGTACTCATCCCATTAATCCCTCCTATTCTTACCCCAATGTTGGGTGATTTCTTCCTGCCAACTAGGGCCGGCTCGAGCGTTAGGCGACTTAGACAATTGTCTAATGCCCTAGCTAATAAGAAGGTCTCAAAATTTTAAAATTTCATTATTTTCTAATATGGTTTAACTTTAATAAATATTAAAAATTTATATTAGGCCGATTTATATCCTAAAATATATATATATATATATATATATATATATATATATATATATATATTCTATTCCACTAGTTTCGATTTTATATTAGGCCTCAAATATTTATATCCTAAAATAACTTCTATTTTTTTTTTTCTCTCTCTCTCCTCATTCATTCTGATTTTGTATCAGGTCTCAATATTTATATCTCCTTCGTTTCGTTGAACTCTAATGGATACATAAATTTTATATTGGCCCCCAAAGATTTATATTTTTTTCTCTCCCTTCTTCTACTCTCATTCATGTTTTATAATAAATCCTAACCCATATAGAAATTTAATATTCGACCAAAAAATTGTATCATTAAATAATTTTTTTTTTCCCTCTTTCTTTCTCTCTCATTCACGTTTTTTATACAAGCAC